TTTTTTCCTCCATAGCTTACCTGTCTAATATCAATCTGTCAGGAGATAGTGACAGAGTGAACAAATATGCTAAAAATGTACTTTTTAGAAAAGTTACATACTGCACCTTTAAAGAAGAACTAACATGTCTGTGAGAGCCAAAATTCTTACTGGTTGATAGATGATCAAATACTTATTTCACACAATACAATGGAAATTAATTATTTAAAAATCATACATTGTATTTTTCTGGATTTTTGTTTTAGATTCCATCACTCAGAGTACCTAAGATAAAAATTACAGTCTTCTACATGCTTTGCAAGTGGGAAAACCTGAAAAATCAACMGTGTATCAAATACTTGTTCTCCCCACTGTATTAGTATTGTAATCACTGAACTACTAAATTTAAATTATATTAAACTATGGTGCAGCAGTACCAAGCTGAGCAGATACAGCAAGGGGCAGTATTTGACCACTACAAGGCTCCATTGTCACCCATTATATGATTTTTGGAATAAAGTTTAAACATTAATATTTCAAAAACTATAAGTTGTACAGGCACCAAAAGGCACAGCCATCATTTGGCACAGGAGCTTTACAGATACAAATTACAATGGAAGCTCTAGGACAAAGTATGCAGGAGGAGAAGCGTGCCAAAGTGGAAGATGACTTGGATGAGAAACGAAAGACAATAGTATGCATTGCATTGGCAATGCACACTGATGAATATCTTAAAATAAACTGCTTTAAAGCCAGCATCGACCATAAACTACATCTCCCATTATGCATGTCGATCATTCATGGGAATTCCCTATCAGAAAGTGGGAGAATTCAGAATTCAAGATGGCAGCTACTCACCACAACTCAACACTGAGTAAAGCTCTTAGTTTAGTTTTTAATATTATTAAAAAACTCTTAAAACTTTTAGTTTTATTTTTAATTTATTTCAGATTTAGTCAGTCATACACTTTTCAGTGTTTATAAGAGGACATGTCAAAACACTGTTTAGTCGAAGTTAAACATGAAACGTCAACATTAATTACAACTGGCACTTTGAAAATGAGACCCCTGACCTAAAGGGAATTCTAACCTTCTAGATTTTCCCTTGACATTCAAAGTTACTAAAGGCACCTCTTCAAATAGACACATCTGTTGTTACTGATTATTTCTACATAAACAGACGAGTCTCTCTGATCTTTACCTCGCAGTGTTGCTGAGGTGTGCAGTCCTTTCGGTTCGTGTTTCTGGATGGTCCTGAAGAGGTCAGGGTCCGAGTCGAACAGCTCCCGCTGATTCTGCCAGTAGTTACCAGGAGAGACGAGCAGACAGCCGTGTTCTGGCAGCACCGACTGCATCCGCCGTAAGCCTGGAAACAAGTCTGTCACCTGAAGACACAGTGACTCAAGGCTGCGAATGCCAGAGCTGACAAGAGAAGACACATGGAAGACAGAAATGAAAGAAAGAAAGGAGCTAGGATAAGAATGAGTAGTTGATCCTAACAGTGCTCAGAGTTGCATATCGATCTTGTTCTTATTATATTATTATAATTTATTGAATATAGTTGATTTTCTTATTTACATTTCAATGATAGCTATGCACAGGGAAGATGCAGCTATGTACGGCAAGCAAACCACAGTTTGACCTACAAGTCAGAGCCTATCAATGCTTGTAGAGTTCAGTTGTGAAACAAAAAATGTCAAAGTACAAAATATAGACTTTGTAGCAACAAAAGGTCAAGAACTCAGTTTTATTTTTTAGCACAACTCCGGATGATTAATAAGTTTTAATGACTGTGAATATCCAGGTTTTAAAAAACACACACACCGGTAACTATTAATTGTAAAAAACAAATTCAAATCCATCTATCTACATGACAAATGTGTGATTAAAATAGGAATGTGGCTGTAAGGGCAGCTACAAAGCAGGACAAGGAGGTAATGTGGGCGTAGGTGAGCAATGAAACAATGTACACAGTCTAGAATAAATTTTTACAAGCTAGGGAGACAAAAATGAGTCCAAAATTACTTTTAAAACCGCCGGCTCAAAACTTAACAGCATGGCTCAGTGGCTGCTTCTTCACAAACACTCATAAATCAGTAAAACAGTCACAGCCCAGTGAGGCACCACCTTTATTTCTTCTGCATATTATTGTATTTTTCAGGAATCAAACCACTACAAACAGCTGTATTCACCTGTCAGTGTGGACATGGTTGCGGATCTCTTCCAGCAGACTAAAGACTTTTCCAAGAGGTGACCGAAACACATCTACCGGCACCAGGTTGCTGTCCCATGGAGACACCGCCGCCTTCACCAACACCTGCTGAATGTAGGCAACCGGAGGTCCGTGGTACTACGGCACACACACAACACACAAGCATCAACACAGAAGGTGCAAATGACCCACAAAGAGGCGATGAAACTGAAAAGGTCTCTTCTAGAAGCTACCGGTGATACCGGCTCCAAGCAACTCTGTTTGCGTTTTTTTATTATGAGGCTCTACTGGGAATGTTGTGCAACTGAGATTTTTTTTTTCTATTTAGGTTCATTTTAAGTAAATTCAGGAGGGCAAAGTCAGATTCAATTTGTTTGAGTTTAAAGTAGGGGTGTAAGAAAATATCAATACACGGAAATATCATATTATTTCATTTCCTGATACTGCATTGATTCTCAAAAGCACTGTATCGATTTTTAATTAAGGCTTAATAGATGGATGTTGTAAAAAGAAACGTAATACAAATAAAGCATAAAAATAAACTGAATTTAATTTGATTTTATGCACTGTGTTTTTAAAATTTGAATATTTTGAAGCAAAAAATGGCAATATATATCGCCTTGCTTATAGTATTGTAAAATATCACGATATATCCTATCCTGACCCCTATGTTGTGATATGTATTGTATCACCAAATTCTTGCCAATACACAGCCCTAGTTTAAATAAATCAATACAGCAGATGGGATTAGTGGTCAAAAACTATTAAAAAATGCTTAACAAAAATGTTATTTATTTAATATACCCAGTCAGGTCGATCTCCGAGGTCTCCCTGAGGCTCATGGGAAGGGACGCTGTAGTCTCGCACCCCTGTGGTGAATTCCACAGGACCCGTCCCAGGCAGCGGGAGCCTCAATAACGGATAGCTGCCAGAGGACAAAGATACGAAAGAGAAAAGGCAAATATTAAATGTGATGGGTTGTCAGCTAAAACACCAACTACAGAATTTGTTCAGCAGTTCACATTACTTTTGTCACACGAAGGACAGAACTTGACAGCTAGCAAGAACCGGCAGAAAAAATGGTCCAAGTAAAGCTGGGTGTTTCCAGTTTTTTTGTTGCAACACTTCTGCAAAGATTAAACCTGCACCTCTGGCTTTTCTTGCTAGATGCAATCAAATACCTGAAACAACCTGTTCCCTCTTTCTACTGGAAATGGGTTGGTCCAATGGAACCAAACTTTAGAATAAACCACCAACTTGTCTGTGCAAGTGCTGTGGAAGCAAGTTATTTAACACAGGAATGACTAGACTGAGTTTTCAACAGTAGCAGGAAACATTGGAAAAGGAATATTTAAAAAAGGGTTACAGACAGCATTATTTGTTTTCTTTCTGTTACCAGAAAACCACTGAGAGGATCATTTATACCCTTGAAAATAAATGACAAAAACAGCAAAGCAAAGGAAATATCAGATGAGCAACAGGATCATGAAAATAGAAAAAGGTGGAGTGTTTCGTCAGAGTAAAACTACAGGTTTTATGTTAGAAATCAATAATATTTTATTGGTTTTGAGATTAATTTTAAATAGGCAGAGAAAGCTCTGTTTGCAGAGTCACTGGTATTGATTGCATCTAAATGTCCATTTCAAACCCATGTTCAAATATTTCTCCTACTCTAAGCATGTTCTTGTTTGTTGAACAGAAAACTCTGCCCTCGTTCCCCTCCATACTCTGTTTTCCCCTGCCTCTTCGACTCTCCTAGGTCACTGTACCGCAAAAAAGCTTCTTTTGTGTTTAGCCAGGCCCCCTCCTGACAGGCAGATGGAGAGACAGGCATCCCATTCTCTCACAGGGCCACTTTCTCACAGCCCTCGGCCCCAGTCCTGCCTTTAACAGCCCCACTGATAAGCTCTTTATCCCCCCCACCGCCCCCCGGGTGGTCAGTCGTCCATTTGGCCATCACTTCCCCCTGTAATGTACTAACAGGACAACACGCAGCAGGTGCACATGTGTGTTTTCCATCGGTGATATTGTTTTATAATGCCTGCGCAGATGAAGCCCCGGCAAGTCTCTGACCTCTGTCCTCTGTTTGGACTGGTGATTTAGCAAGAGCAGATATTATATGTGCACGTGCTGAGTGAGTGTTTGTGTCGTGGGGTCAGCGGGGAATTATTCTGTGTGCAGAGAGCCTTGGACTGAGACGGTGTTCTTCTTTATTCTGTGCAGTTCAGTGCATCTGTACTACTGCATGTGACAAGGCTGCGTTTCTCTCTTCTTTTAATAAAGGCTCAGTGATATTACAAGTTGTGTTGTTAAAAAAAGGTCATGGTTATATTTAGAGCTGCAAAATATACATTAAAAATGTAATGGCATTGCAAAAGTCAGTGGGCGTGACTTCAATATCTTCTAATAAATGTAATAAATTCAAGGCTATTATATTTCAAGTACCAGTCAAGAATAATCACACATCACATTTTTTTCTGATATTTTCCAGCTCTAGTTGAGGCAGAACAAAATTTATTTGACCAGGATGTTGTACAATCATATTACATGGAAAGAGCTTTTTCAAATACAGTGAACCCCCTGCAAAATCACAGTTCACCCTTTGCGGATTCAGTCTTTCAAGGATTTTTCCACGGAACCTAACTTTTAGTAATTCGCGGAAAACCCTGCATTTTCACAGGAAACCAGAAATCAAGTAAACACACTGCATGTATGGAACTTTATTTTGTGCCCCCCCCCCCCTTTTTTTGAGTTTTCAAGCTGAATTATTAACAAAGGTATAATTTTGTAACATAAAAAAATTAACGTAAATTCAGTTCCATAAGATAATTGTGGAACAGTACGGTACGTGATGTGTTTTCTGTGCTCACGCAGAGCGCACGGCCGCCAGTGAACTCTTTCTCGGGGGACAATTTTCCTCGCAGCAATGCTATGTGCTAATGTTTGGAGCAGCTAGTTGCAGCCGCGTGTGGCGATTCCGCTGCTTATATTGACTGACGTTTAAAAAACATCCCGTTTTCGCCGTCGCTGAATGTAGTAAACACCTCTTCAGTGACGTGCACAGTTAGATTTAAAGCGGTTAGTTAAAATGGAGATGTTATGCTGATGGAGACTTAACATGGTTCTATTGTGAAAAGCCTGGGGGAAGTAGAGTTGAGTTGATTTGACTGGTGTGCAAGGTGAGTTGTGCTGATAAGCTTTATTAAATAACATAAAACAATAAACCCGGTAATCTTTTCTTAACCCTCCTCCTTCACAACTGGACCAAAATGCGTGACTGTCTACAACCACCAGTCAAAGAAAAGACACAGAGGAGGGAAACAGCGACACAGACAGAGGTACAGTAAATGAAAAAAGTTAATAATTAGTGTTTATACATTTTATTATCAGCTGAGCTGTGATGAAAAGAAAAATACCGTCAAATACAGTGATATAAAATTTTGGTCATACCGCCCAGTGTATGTTGTATGTATTGGGAGAAATTTTGCAGTTTAAGCTCTCAAAATTAGCGTTTACAGACATTTTTTTGAACTGCGTTCATTAAATCACATTTTTTCACAATTTGTAGGTCCTCTAAGAACATAACCCCTGTGGAAAAGTGGGGCTCACTGTATAACCAAACATTTAACAATGAGTGAAAAACAAAACAGCATACAAGGAGGACAATCTTTTCAATACAAACATTCATAATATTTCTGATTGTTCTACACAAGAACACTGGAGAACAAGTTTCTTTTGACTTAAAAACAGGCATTAAAGAAACGTTTCAGTGGTACTTGTTCAAAGTAGGAAGTTATCAGAAACAGAAATTGTTGTATTTCTAGGTTTTAAACGAGGACATGAAACAAACTGATATCAACCAATAATCTGAGTCCACAAATAAAAGCACCACATGACAGCACACTTACCAGCAGGTGAGGATGCTGGCAGAGGTGAAGAGGATGATGGGTACTGGGTAGGAGGCACATAGCAACCCGTGGCGGTAGAAGGCCGCCGAGATCTTCCCTCTCAGCTGCTCGCGCAGCGTCATTCTCGTGGGCGTGGTCAACTCCCGGCCATTAGGAAGCACTGAGCGGCCGAGGACGGTGCGCCGCGGAGCATCCAAGGGCCTTGGAGAACAAACGTAAAACCATTCAACAACAAATCAATTTAAAACCATAATAAAAGGTTTATTATACTGCCTAGTCCCCACCTCCAATAATTAAACTCAACATTATTTATATCAGCATCAATTCTTTCCCAAGTCTTTAATTGTAAGGAAAAAGTACAAACTTTATCTTCAAATTACTCCCGTGTTTGCAGATTTCTACAATGCCCCAGAACTTTAACAAGTCTGCAAATGTATGGTTTTCACATCTAAAACAAGCTAACGTTATTTCTAAAAGTCATATATTCGAAATATAACATTGTCAAACACATGCAACACAAACCAGAGATACTTTCTATCATTTTTTATCAGGTTAAATTTTGTTCTGTGACTCTATGGACAAAGTTACACATAAGCTGTGACCTTGACACCAAATGAGTAACGTACTCCCTGCATTAGCACACATGCTGCTGACCAAATAACACAGTGTTTTTACTTAAGAGCAGCCCATTCTGCCTTCACATGCTACAAAACACACAACTCATTCAGAGGCCCAAAAGGTGTGGGCACATTCCCAACTGAAGAAAACATCCCACTTAAACCAATCAGGCCCCAGGAGGAAAAATAAACAACCTGGACTTTCCTCATTTTCCAGGAAGACTGTGTATTTCCATGTGGTGTAGGTAAGCAAAAAGTGAAACGCTGGCCAACATCCTGACGTCTTATTGACACGCACAAGTAAAAAACATACTAGTGTTGAAAAGAGCCACACATCTGCAGAAAATTCATGTGGTTGGATTAAACAGTGTTTTGGACTTTGTTGGAAAATACAAACAACCAGAACTGATTGTTTTGAATTAATCCAACATTAAATTTACACCAAGATGACATAAAAACAATAGACGCTTTTTATTTTACAACAGAAGCCTTGAAACAGTGCTGAACACAGCTGTCCTGGTTTCACATTAGTGATCTGATCATCCCTCAATGAGCCGAGTCTGCAGCCACAGCTGGAATATTACAAATAATCTTACTCTGCATTATAGACACCAGCGTTTTCACTGTTTATTCATCTTTAAGTGTCTGTGGCATCAAATTGTCGTGATAAATATGAATACATTATTGGTAAAAAAAAAACATGTTTCTGAGATGAACAGTTGCTGAAATATATGGTCATAAAGGCCCACTTAGGCTGTTCTTTTGTGACAAAGCATGTAAACAAAACATTTCAACAATGGCGAATAACAGACTGTAGTGAAGAACTGCTCTGATCCACAGGAAAAGCAATGCAGACAAGTAGGGCTGCAACAACTAATCAATAAAATTTATAAAAATCGATTAAGAATTATAATCATGAGTTTCGGCAACAAACTTGGTTATGGATTTGTTGTGTCTGGCTATTTATGATGATATTAATTTAATGATTAATTTGCTGACAATGTCTGAGTGAAGACACTTACCTTAAGCTAATATTGCAAATAAAACAAGCAATTAATTATTGTAATTCAAATTCAAATTCAATTCAAATTCAAAAATACTTTATTGATCCCAGAGGGAAATTTGGTGTTGTTGTAACTCATTTAACTAAATACTTATTGTAGATGCTGATGGCTGTGGGCAGGAAAGATCTTCTGTAGCGGTCTGTATTACAGCGAAGTTGAAGAAGCCTCCGACTGAAGACACATTGTCTTTCTATGACAGTCTGATGAAGAGGATGGTCAGGGTTGTCCACAATGTGCTTGATTTTATGTAAAATCCTTCTTTGCACCATCATCTCCAGAGATTCCACAGTCATCCCCAGAACAGAACCAGCCTTCTTTATCAGGTTGTTGAACAGACTTGTAGAAGATCTGAAGCATCTTGCTGCAGACATTGAAGGATCTCAGCTTCCTTAAGAAGTACAGTCTGCTCTGTCCTTTCTTGTAGACTGCTTCACTGTTGAGTCTCCAGTCCAGTCTGTTGTCCAGATGAACAACGAGGTATTTATATTCCTCAACCACCTCCACTTCTCCCATGATGGAAACAGGGTTTGATCTAGCACTATTTCTCCTGAAATCTACAATCATCTCCTTTGTTTTGTTCACATTCAAGATGAGATGATTGTTCCCACACCATGCCACAAAGCGGTCCACCAGCTCTCTGTATTCAGCTTCCTGTCCATCTCTGATACACCCAACAACTGCAGAGTCATCTGAGTATTTCTGTAGATGACAGCAGTCTGACTTGTGCTGGAAGTCTGAAGTGTACAGTGTGAACAGGAATGGTGAGAGTACAGTTCCCTGTGGTGCTCCTGTGCTGCTGACCACCTGGTTAGACACACAGTCCTTCAGTCTCACAAACTGTGGTTTGGTTGTCAGGTAGTCTTTGATCCAGGTGATTGCTGAGGCCTCCACCGGAGTCTTCTGGAGTTTCAGACAAAGTAAATCAGGCTGAATTGTGTTAAAAGCACTGGAGAAATCAAGGAACATGATCCTCACAGTGCTGCCTGCTTTGTCCAGATGACAGTGGGTTTGTTGAAGCAGGTGTATGATGGCATCGTCAACTCCAACTCCACGACGATAAGCAAACTGCAGGGGGTCCTGATGTGTGTTTGTTTGCTTATTCAGTTGGGTTAACAGGAGTCTCTCTAGGACAGGGGTGTCAAACTCCAGTCCTCGAGGGCCGCTATCCTGCATGTTTTAGAGGTTTTCTTGCTCCAACACACCTGATTTTGATCGCTGGGTGATTAACAGGCTTCTGCCCAATTTGAAGAGTTAATTCAATCACTGAATCAGGTGTGTTGGAGCTGGAAAACTTCTAAAACATGCAGGATAGCGGCCCTCGAGGACTGGAGTTTGACACCCCTGCTCTAGGACCTTCATGATGTGGGATGTCAGGGCAACAGGTCTATAGTCATTGAGGGCTGATGGGTGAGTTTTCTTTGGTACTGGAACCAGACAGGGTGTCTTCCACAACACCGGCATCTTCCCCAGGGTCTAGCTAAGGTTGAAGAGATGTTGCAGAATCCCACAGAGCTGGTCTGCACAGGCCTTCAGGACTCTGGGGCTGACATCATCTGGACCTGCAGCCTTGTTCTGGTTCAGTCTCTCTAGCTATCTCTTCACCTGACTTCTAGATACGGAAAAGTGGGAGGGGGAGGGAAAGGGAGCAGCAGCATCTCCTGATTTAGTTGAAGACAAACTTGTGGATGTAGAAGAAAAGTCCATGACTGAGGTTGAAGATAAAACATCTGAGGTTTGACAGGAAAGCTGTGGGTCAAAGGAGGGTGAGATGTCTGTTTGGCTAGGGGCAGGAGAGGAGGAAGATGAGCTTGTTCCTGAGTTGAACCTGTTGAAGAATGTGTTCAGCTCATTTGCTCTGTCCAGACTTCCATCCATCCAATTCTCCTTTTGCTTGAAACCTGTGATCTTCTTCATCCCTGACCACACATCTCTGATATTGTTCCTTTTCAGTTTACTCTCCAGCTTCCTTCTATAAACCTCCTTGCTGTCTCTGATCTTGACATTGAGCTGCTTCTGTATACTCCTCAATAACTCCCTGTCTCGATCCCTAAAGGCTCTTTTTTTCTTGTTTAACAGTTCCTTTAGCACACTGGTGATTCAGGGTTTGTTATTAGGGAAGCATCTCACTGTTCTGCTGGGGATGGTGTTGTCCACATAGAAGTTTATATAGTCAGTCACACACTCAGTCACGGCATTTATGTCATCTCCATGTGGCTGGCAAAGAACAATCCAATCTGTAGTTTCAAAACATCCCTGTAGGGCTTCTTCAGCTTCCTGTGACCACTTTCTCACAGTCCTTGTARTTACAGGTTGTCTCTGAACAAGTGGTTTATATTCTGAGCAGAGATAAACAAGGTTGTGATCTGAATTACCCAGAGGAGGTCTTGCATTGGCGATATAAGAATCCTTAACATTTGTGTAAAAAAATCCAATGTCTTGTTTTCTCTGGTAGAGCAGCTGACAAACTGTTGAAATGTTGGCAGTGTAGTAGAGAGTGAGGCATGATTAAAATCCCCAGATATTGCCACAAATGCATTGGGGTGTTGTGTCTGTATCTTAGCAACAACGGAACTGAAGATATCACATGCATTGTCAGCAACTCTTTTTCCCACTGCTCTTTAAATCTCTGTCTGCTCATATAGTCTGGAAGCCTGGCAGAGAGATGTTGGCATCAGGGACATCATCCTGCAGCCATGTCTCAATGAAACACATAATACTGCATTCCCTACACTCTTGCTGAGTCCTTGTCAGGGCTTGAAGTTCATCCAGTTTGTTAGCAAATGATCTCACGTTGCCCATTAGGATTGATGGAAGTGATGGTTTGAACTTCCTCCTTCTCCTTCTCTCTCTCTCTCTTTGCTCCAGCTCTGCATCCACGATGCCTTCTTTTCAACTCCTCTGGGATTTGCGGCTTCAGTTCATGTATTATTTCAGATTTTGCAATATTAATCAGCTGCTCCCTGTTGTAAACCMCCCTGTTGCTATGGTTATGCACCATAACAAAAAGCAAAGTATAAAAAAAAGTATTGGCAAAAACCAATCCAGCTGCACAGCACCCAAAACACAAATGAACAGCCGTCCAAAAAGTTACTTTTTCCACAGAAAGGCAGGAATGAATGCCTGAAAAGAAAAGAAAATCTCAATAAAAGTAACAGAGCTGCTCCAACGTGCTGCCAACCTCAGCGGCGCAATTCCGGAATTCAAAGCAGAATAAAAAGCTGTTTTGACTGAAAGTCTTCTTAACATGATCGTCACTGACATCAGACTGTCTATGGTCAAACAAACACTTTGCTATAATAATTTTCGCTTTTATTTCAGGTTACACTCTTCCCTCAAGGACACATTTAACAAAGCTCATGGAGAGAAAATATGAATATGAAGAGACTTTCAAAGATATACACACATTTGAGTATATGTTTGTGTGCATTCTATTTTTACTGAAGCTATTTGACAATTATTTACTTCTTCGTGCATTACAATTTAATATTATATAACCTTTTTTTGTGTGATTTGTTATGTCGGTCCAAATTTTCTATTTTGGAATGAAAAGGTCAAAATTAAAAATGTTATTTATTTATTTATTTTCCAATTAATCCATTAATCTAATTAAAAAAATATTGAACGATTAATCCATTATTATACTAATCGTTAGTTGCGGCCCTAGTTTCACGTTTTTTTATTCTTGTATAAAGACGACCAGGGAGTTCCACTTTGGTGTCACTCAAAAACAACCCAAACAGTTCAAAAACCAAAATATACCAGTTACGTAACAAAATGAGTAAAATCACGTGCATTGTGCCAAATTCCTTGAACATTAAGATTTCAATTCCAACTTTATGCACTTGTAAGAATTTCATGTCACAAACACAAATGTGTTCTTGATAAACTGCTTCACAGAGCGGTGACCACACATCTGTCCAGTAAATAAATAAATGTAAACTATAAAATAAATCTAATACATGAATATGTAACTGAGACACTAAATAACATTTAGAAGCTGTATTCAGCAAATATTCAGCATTTTTATGTGAAATTCCTGATGGATAACTTGATTAGAAGGGATTTATTTCTTAAAAGCAGACCTTTCTCACTCCCATGGCTCTCTGCTTGAGATCAAACCAAACACTGATGTGAACTTGAACCCAAACACTGTGTGAAATCTTTGCCTTCAGGGTGGTTCACCTCGGTTCAAACAAAAACCTCCACTTTGCGTTCCCATATCAACTCAATGCCCCCGCTCACATCTCTGCTCAGTCTCACTTCTCCTGTCTTTGCTCACAAAGCATAAAGGCTGAGAACTGTATCTAAGTGTCTGGAGGTTTTTCTGTCGCACAAATATTCCTGCAGATCACAGAAGTTATTCATTCAATTCCAACTAATCCTTTCTTTCTCACCAATCAATAACGCCTGGAAGTGACACAATTTTACTAGCCAATCATGCCTCGACATGAGCCACTGTGTCCATCACAATAAACTGTACCTGCTGATGGGAGACCAGGTTATCTCTCGGGATCCCACCTGTTTACGTCCCTTGAAATAAGCAGCGCTGGGTTTTTTTAGCTTTATCTGCGGCGCCTTGCGGTTGACATAGTGCTCCCTTCTTGGTTCAGGCTGAGAGTGCGACTGCTTGGCTTGTCCCCCCGGGAGGAACGGAAACATTCCCCGGGAGAAAATCCCCTCAGGAGTCTTTTGATCTGCTGTTATAAATACACTATACAGTAAACACAGCAACAGAAAGCTCGCACAATGGGTTCAGGAACACCAAAAGAGACGTTTGAAGCAAAGCCTTTTTAGTCTCCGTTTCCGTAGGGGTGCCCAGCCAGGTTCTGATCTTGCTGGCCAGGAATTCATTAAAAAAACCTCTGAATGAAAGCCTCCATCTCTCTGCAGTAGGTCCTGTTCACTGAGTGTAGCGGGGTTACGCGGGTGCAGCTGCAAGACCCGATCTGGCAAAGGGCTCAGCAGCGTCTCCGTCAGTAAACTAATCCGAGATTGAGCTGATCGGAAACTCCACGGGCAGGGTACAGGCTCTGCACCGAGGCCACCCTCCCACCGCCTCCCTCCTCCTCTGGTCACAGACTTCGGTCTTTCACGCCAGTCGCAGGAAGCCAGACATTCACGCCTTGAGAGCATGGCGAGGTTGACCGAGGCTTTGCAACACAAAAACTTCCACAATCAGAGTGGAAAATGAACAGCAGCCAACAGCCAAGTGCTGGTAAGCAGTTCCTCTCTATCTCTCTCAGCCTGGTGAGTCTGGGTTCTCTGCAGCCTTTCTGGCAGGTCAGTGTTAAGAAAAGCTATTCTGGTGGGATTTGTTGGACTGGTATAGCTGGGCGTAACAAAAATAACACTTTTACTGAAACACAGAGAATTTAAAAGTAAATCTGGAGGGCAACACTTAGTCAAAAACAGATTTTTTTTTTAATTTGCTCAGTTTTCTTCCATTAGAAGCCAGCCCTACTTGCAAAAAAATTGACATAATGATCCCCATAGCGAGATTAACTTCATTTATGAAGATACTGATAGGATTTTTTAGCCTAATCAGAGCACCTGCATAACTGTGAGCAAAATAATGAGTTTTACCAAAACCTTGATTGCCTCCATTTTAAAATGAAAACAGTACACTTCAAATTGCTTGAATGAGAAATCTAAAAAATATATATATTTAAGCAAAGGCTTAAAGCTTACCTCTTTTCAATCCTTCCTATAATATCCAACCTGAGCGCCCCTCCGGACTTTATGGATTCTAGCGGCATGATCAGCAACTTTATGTCTTGCGCTCACGGCACAGCCAAAAGCAAAACTACCAACATTCCAGAAAGTGTCAGACTGCATCCATTCTTCCCAACACAGCTGAATCAAAATTCAGCGACATAGTTAGTTAATTCTGAAGTATGCGCTGCTGATCAGCAGATTATTAGTCCTGTTGTAAATGTAGAGACGAGCTCAGTTTGAATGAGCTGTCATTTACAAGCAGGGCTGATGATAGGACAGGGAAAACTTCTGTTAATCAGTAACCAAGTTGTAATAACTAATGATGCGGAAGAGGCAGACTACATCCACACATGGATTTTCTTGGTTTCGGTGAGGCAGAAAAAAAAAGCCAATTATGCAGAAATGATCTGAACTTCAAAATAACAACCACCACGGTGCATTTACAACCTGAAGCGTATCAAGGGTATCTAAACACATTTCCCAAGACAAAGACAACATGCTGGGGGCTGCTGTAACCATGTTGCAACATCACCTGCAAGAAAAAAGCAATGACAAAGACATGATGGCAGGCATGTCCAGAGAGCTACTATTCCAACTGGTCAGCTCCAAACAAGACACTTATTTTGAGCATTTCTTGAGAAAAGACAGAACAGATCATATAGTCATGAGTCATCATCAATGGGTCAGTAGCTACAAAAACATTTCAATAAAACACTTGAAGCTTTAGACCAAAATATTTGATAAGGAATAAAGTGACGTAAGAAACCGAGTTAATCAGAAAATATGAATAAAACTTCCATTAGTAGCATCTTGTGTAGCTCAGCAAAATTAGGTAGCACCCTCCACAAAGATGTGATGCAATATAAACATATCTCTATCTTTTCGTTATCTCTGTGATATCATAATAAAAACAAATACACACGAAACATCTTTATCCTGCCTCATTTTCCCCCGGTTTGTTTTACCGTTTCAGAACCTGAGCTCGTTTTGTCAAAGCATCATGCTACAGGCTACTGTTAGCAAACAGCTAGCAACATTAGCTTCCCTGCGAACATGTGTTTCTGTTTATCAGTGTTTTACTTGATTCGCAATAATATGAAACATTAATAGCGAAGTCAAAACCTAATTTATCGAGGCTCTTATGAACATAGTATCTTTTTTTAAAAAACAGTTCGTCATTAAATCGCAACATTCGTTAGCTTTTCTTAGGACGAGCTAGCTGGTGTTCAAGATGTGCGGTCACCAAATAATAATGTAGCCATAACAAAGTCATACAACATGAATAATCAGAAAATTTATCGTTATAAAGATAATATACAACAAACGCTCTTAGGATTTCTATGAAGCTAAAGCTAGCTACAGCAGCTGAAGGAAGAAGCGGGTTAGCAGCTTCTCTATTCATAAACACTTGCCTGGGAAAACTTCAGGTCGAATATCACTGCAAGTGTAGGTCGTCTGGATAAAACGGTGATAAACCGCCTTGTTGATCCTTATTCTGGAAACACCCGTGCAGGTTAACTCCGCAAAAACAACGGTGACAGGCAGAAACAACGCACCAAAACTACAGCCTTGTCAAACTCCCAGACTCTCCTCTTCGACCTCTCACCCGGTCGACACCGTGGCGCTAAGGGCCACAGCGCCCTCTGCAGGACACATGCTGTCATGACATGTATATGTTTTATTCTGAAATTACCCCAAAAACACACTTGAAGCTTAAATAAAGATACAAAAACTAACAATAAGTTCAGAATTGAGTCACTTTATTGGCAGAGCATGTTTACACATTCTGTTAGCTCAAAGTCTAATAAGTTCAAGTAACTAAATACTAAAAACAATATGAGTCTGGAGTCTTCCTTATAAACCATAAGGCAGGGAGTGATTCTGACATCTTGAAGCAGGGATGTTAGCTGACAGCTTCAGAGTCTCTCCTCGAGAAAAAGTGTGTTTGTTGACATTTTTAAACCAGCCAAACACCAAACGTAGCTCTTATAATATGGCAGCAGATCATCCAACTACCACCATGACACTGAAACATGGATGCCGCTAGGTCCGGGTGAGCGGCTTCATATAGAAGTCCATAACGAAATGTTGAAAATAAAATTAGAGAACAGCGCTGGAGGTGCCACGGGCGAAAAAGGAGGCTCCTTTGTCATGAACTTTGTATTGAAAGAGTTTTTTCTGGGTGTGCTGCTCGTCACCTTGTCTCCTCCTCCTCCAACAGACTTCTACCTGGAAAACAAAGAGTACCGTGTTTCGCAGTTTTTGATATTGATTTTTTTAATACAAATCTTTTTTATGAAACTTTTGATGAAATATTTTACTGTAAACATGAACTACATGCTCATTTTACCACACAATATGTATGAAAACATATGTAAGGGGGAAGAAAATCATACTTGTCCATGGATGTCCTTGCAGTAGCCAGTGGGGAGACCCTGAACGTGAAGAGCGAGGCTACATTGATGGGACAAGCCCTTCAGGAGCGACTCAGAGCCTTCGTCTCCATCCTCCTCCTCGTCCCCAATGCAGCGTACTAGCATCACCATATTCCCCTGTGATTACATTCACATTTTTATTATTATAATCAATATTTTGACTAAAAGAGAGTTACTGAAGACCAAACCTGTTGCTGAGAGCAGACTGTGGCTCTGCAGTAATGACTGAAATCCAACACGGCTCCTGTGCTGACCCCCAGACTCAGCAGCACACTGAGGTCATCCACCAGCAACACAGGTGGTCCCCACTCCTCTGCCCCCTCCTCACTAACGCCTGAACCAGTCAGACTGGACCGAACAAACTCATACAGACTCCGCAGGCCGACGGCAGGATTCCTGAGAGTAGAGAAAGAAGAACAGACAAGAAAAATTAATTATCCACAGTTAAATGGAGTCATCATTACTATACAACAAGAAAAAAGTCTATATCATTTGCACCTGAGGAAGTTCATAGCCTGATTTTCCATGTTTTCATCTGGAATCAGAACTGACAGAGACTCCTTGAGTCCTTCAAGAAATACCAGCTGGCCTTTCTCCTTTGCTTGTGTCAAACTGACACCCTGAAATCACACATTTCACACAAAAATGATAAAAATTAGACAACATATCATAGTTTAAACTTACTCTAAAAAAACACACACACACAACAGATGAGAGATGCTCACCAGTCGTTGACTGACTGCATTATAGTGACAAAAGGATTGCACCAGACCCAGAAAACACACTCTGCATCGGGCTAAAACACAGATCAGATGTAATGGCTGTTCGAATGTGAACCTAAAACTACATTAAATGTTGCTGACTGTGAAACAACTCACCTCGTAGGTAGAACGACAGAAAGTGGTAAATGAGGAAAGAGGCGTCACCCTGTCTCTCCGAAACCAGGATAAATTCTCCCTGGTATCAAAAACAATGATGAGAAACGATGCTATGCTAGCTGAAAACAAGTTAACCTAAATATAGTGTAGCAGCATATAAACAATGCTGTATATATTATTAAAGCACATAATGACGTTTTAGAGAGGGTCTAATGTTTAAAATGTTGAATTGTTTACCTGTGTGAAGCTGTCCGGAGAGGCGTTCAGGATGCTGTTGAGCTCTGTAAACATGGTGCTAACCTACCTGGCTAAGCTAACTTATCCTTTATAAAACAAACCAAGCTTTTTTTAAAATAAATTATTGCCAAAACTCCTTAGACAATATTAAAATACAAACGTATGTTGGTTGCATTCGTCACTTAACACAGAAATACAATGTAAAACCTCCATTAATGCTAACGCCACTAACTGCTAGCAGCTGCAGTGACGAAACCAGCGTGTGAACAAAGATATGTTTATATAAAAGAAGAGGTCTCACTTTAAAGCATATTTCTGAAACAAATCAAGTACAGGGTAATGTAGGCTAAAAGGTCGAACGACAAATACAATTAAAAGAAATTGTCAAAAATAACTTTGAAAACTAATATTTGCCATTTGTTGCTGTTCATTCACAAAAATATTTTTTGGTCTTTTTACCATTTTAAGTTTTAAAAAAGAAGAATGAAAAACAAAAT